AGCAAAAAAAAAAAACAAAAGAGCATAATGCAGCTGCAGAACTGAATTCCAGGTAGATGCTATGCCACTGAACTCAGGAGTTCCTAGCTTAGTATCCACATAAGGCAGCTCCATCAAAACAAAAGCACAAAAAACAGAAGTAAGACCATTAAAAGCCAAACTCCTCAAATTCGACCCACTCTCTTCTAGCTTGGTTGGCTATCTCCAATTCCACTTTCCAAATGCTATTAAAGACCCAAAAGTTCCTGCATTTCCATAGTCTCCATAGAATATAAGAGGAGAAGTGGACCTGTTTGTCCCATTTTTGTTGCTATTTTTGTCTATGTTTTGCATGTGTTTTCCCCCGTTTTAGGTTGTTTCTTAGGTTTTTCTAGTCCTCTGAGTCGTTTCTCGTGTTTTAGTGTTATTCAGGTGTGTTTCGTGTTTTCTTTATTTTTCTTCCTATTTTTCCTGCTTTTCGTATTTGTCCGGTTTTGGTGGTTTCAGGTTGTTCAGGTTCCCAGGTGTTTCATCCTAGTTCGTGCCACCAGGCAGCAAAGGATTAAGTTTCTAGCTCGGGAAAGACCCGAGAGATGCTAGTCGAGAGCTCACGAGCCCAGAAAACCAAAAATCGGAAGCTGCCCAGACCCTAGCGCCGCTAAGGGGTTAGCGGCGCAAGGGTGTGAAAACTAGCGGCGGTTTGGCTTAGCGAGGTGCTAGCGACGTCAGAGACTTCATAGCAAAAAAAAGGGGGTTAGCGGCGCTAAGGTCTATTTTTAACTAATCGCCTTTTTTGTGGGTTTTGAATTGGGAAGGCTACTAGTTCGAACCTAGGGCATATTTTCAGTACGCGGAGACTTTGTACTCGTTTTTCTTCATCTAAAAACATATTTCTCTCATCTTTTCTCTTAGTTTTGATCTTGGATAGTGAAAACTCCAAGATTTTACCCTTGGATTTGGATTGCTCGTGTTTTTTCGACATTGGATTTGTTATTAATTGTAAGCTTCTCTTTCATTTCATTGATGAATGTTATGGCTTTGCTTGATATGAATGTTGATGTTGAATTTGTGATGAGTAGCTAATTCCTTCTGCTAGGGATAGGGGATGATTATTCTTGTTTGATTCGTATTTGTCGGGCTTGATTTGTTCATGCTTATGTGAGTTGATATAATTCAGAATTGATGAATTTGTGCTTGATTGATTGATATAATCGAAGAGTGACACTTCGATCTTGCGATTGAAAACAATTGAATGTTAATTTGTCGAGTTAGGGTTTGTCAATTCTATATGATTAGTTGATTAATCACCTTCTAGTTAATTAGCGACTTTTAGAACTGAAAGGGAAGAAGTCGTAGACCTAGGCTTGCATGAGATAGATAATTTCGTAACTGAATAATCTATGAGTTGACATTGAAATACGTGCTTGTCAATGACCCGTCCCTTGTTACGAAAAGTTATTGGGATTGGGATAATTGGCTTGTGTTGTATGCTCGAGCTTGTTCGTCTATGTTCAATCCCTTGTTACGAAGAGTTATTGGGAGCGAACCTCTAGATGTTTAAGCGAGAGTGTCAATCTCGAACCGAACAATTGATTGCCCGGTTTTTGCTAAGAACTTGAATAAATTATCCCCGATTCCCTAGCTTTTCTATCTTTGTTCCGTTTATATTTTTAGGTAGATTATTGTTTTATTTTATTTCTTAGTTAATAATTCATCCAATCTGCCATCTGATTAGTGTGTTTAGGATTTATTTTCTTTTTGTGTGAAATCAATACCGAAGCTAAATTCCGAAACGCCTTCCTTGAGAGATCGACCCAGGGAACGAATCCTTCGATTCGGTACTCGGTAAAAATAATAATTTGTGCTACAACAGGACCCTATCTTCAAGGTTGTTGGCTCTTTTCATGGTGCATAGCTCAGTCTACCAGTGCTTGAAGGTAAGTTGTGGGTTTTTTAGGCAAGTCCAGTCCACGCCTGCAATTTTCCACACATTAATGGCTCGAGGGCAAGCAAAGAATATGTGCTCCAGGGATTCCTCACAAGCTCCACAAATTTTGCAAATGGGGTCTAAGGACATTCCTTTTAGAGCAAGCTGGTCATTAGTGCCAATGAATTTGAACCAACATCTCCAAAGAAAGGTTTTGGTTTTGTTCTTGATTTTCAGAGACCATGTGGCCTTCCACACCTTGGATTCCAGGAGATTGGCATTGCTAGGTTCAAGAAGAGCTGAGATGGTCTGATTTGAAGCAATGAGGACAGAGTATGCAGATTTCACAGTAAAGAGACCAAGCTTGTGGGCATGCCAAGATAATGTGTCTCTCTGACCTCTGCTATTCAAAGGTGTGTTCAAAATGAGAGAAGCTTCCTCTGGGCTGAAAGACTGATCAATCAAATCCTTGTCCCATGACGATCCATCAGCATTCAATAGGTCACTAACCTTCTTTAATCTCAGTCTGTCAGAGTGGAAGCATGGAGAGGGGGAGAGATTTGGTGTACCACCAAGCCAAGGGTCAGACCATATTTATGTGCTACATCCATCTCCTATCACCTGCAGAGCACCTTTTTCGAGGTGGACTCTTGTTTGCAACCAGGTACTCCATAGCCATGAGTCAGTAGATTTGTGCTGAGCTTCCCACAGAGAGCAATTGTGATAGTATTTGCCTTTGAGGACTTTGGTCATCAGGAGTTCAGGGTGCTTAATGATTCTCCATAATTGTTTGGATATAAGGGCTTGGTTGAAGGACACCATGCATTTGAAGCCCAGCCCTCCCTTAGCATTTGGTCTTGAGAGTTTCTGCCATGAAGCCCAGTGGATTCTCTTGCCTCCTCCTTCCTTGGATCCCCACCAAAAGTCAGCTTGCAGTCTGCATATTTCCTTGCAAATGCCCAAAGGTAGTTTTAAACAAGACATGGTAAATGTGGGCAGAGCTCCTATCACAGTTTTCAAGAGAATCTCTTTTCCTGCTTCACTGAGGAAGGAGTTTTTCCAGGATTTGAGTTTGGAAGAAACATTGTCAATGACATAACTGAAAGTGTTTTTCTTGGAGGAGCCCAGGCCTAGAGGAAGGCCTAGGTATCTGGAGGATTTGACAGTGGATATCCAATTTAGAATTAGGTTGATCTCGGTCATAAGGGAGAGTGATGTGTTTTTTGAGAAATAGACTGAGGATTTGGATAGGTTAACCCTCTGCCCAGAGTCTAGGCCATATAATTTGATGATCTAAGAAATAAGAATAGCATAATGGTGATCAGCTTTGCAGAAGATGAGAGAGTCATTTTCAAAGAAGAGATGGGTCACTGAAGGGAAATTTTTGCTAATTTTCAGTCCTTTGAAAGTTTAAGAAAGGGCTGCTTGTTTGATGAGGTTAGAAAAGGCTTCACTGATGATGATGAAAAGGTATGGAGAAAGCGGGTCTCCTTGCCTCAGCCCCCTAGTAGGTTTGAGGTGTCCAAGGGGTTGACCTTGGATGTTGAAGGAAAAAGAGTTGGTTGTTGTTGGGTTCGATAGTAATGTACGGGCTGTACGCAGCGGAATTTAAAATTTTTAAAGTAAGTATTTATCGTATAAATACAACACCCGTACATACTAATTGCGAATTAACTGATCGTCATCTTTAAAACATGCATCATATACAAATTTTGATTTGTTACTATAAAGTAAATACTAGTAAAAATATTTACCGAATTTCTTGAACTCCTTCACTATTGATGATGGATGAGGGAATCGGTTCCCGGTTGTAACTTCAACGACTTGAGGTTACTCGCTAGAGGAATCCAAGTGTCTTCCCTCTAAACGTATCCACCCTATGAAGCCCGG